AATGCCTGGCAGCCACCGGTATGATGTTGGATGGTTTCTTGGGCTTGGCATCCATATCGCCATTTGTCATTTTAGCCTTAAGGATCTTTAACAATATATTTCATCTTTAATAAATCCATACACATGTATAGTTGGTTGGCTACTGATCCTACAAAATTTCATAAACTTCAGTTTACCCACATTAATTTTTTAAGAACCAAATTTTTCAATGTTTCCAATATAGCCATATGATTAATTCACATTACAGACTACAACATTGATGGTTGATACTGTTACATTATTATAATTTTAATTTTTTCAATTTTAAATAATGCTGACATCTCTCATTTTTAGACAACTACCGTAAGTTACACTGACTGCTCTGACACAATATCCGTTCTAACATGTCAACAATGTCATTTTGATCAGTTTTTATCAACAGGTCCTCGAAGACACTTCGTCTCAGGACAATTTTACCTATGTAGGGTCATACGTCGCCATGTTACCAATTCCAACGGTAATTTAAACATCATAATTTGTAACCATATATAATGTAAAGCAACTGTAAATTTATATCATTTAAAGGGTTTTGGCCCATATATTTTGGTGGCTCATAGCATGTATACCTCGTAAGTATTAACCACAATGTTCTTTAACCTTAGTCATTTTAGATTCAACGTTCTTTTTAATTAAAGTGGTTATTTACTTTCAGGTTTGCACTGATGATGGATTTACCAATCCAAAAACGTTTTGCAATATTTTTGTGATAGCCTGTTTGGGCATTTTATTATATACCTTTTATAAAGGATTTTAAATAAATTTTTTGTGATATATGGTATACAGCCAGCTACAGGAACTTAGTTTCCTAGTGAAATTTTATGATTCAGGTAATTTTTAGTTGGAATAACATGATCCTGAATGGCAAGTAGAAAACTCTCAGTCTCGTGAAATATCTTTCCTGATATCAACAAATAGTTCGACGCGGTATTGTCGACATAATCATTCAGGTGAAGTAGATGTCTTAGCCTATACCTGATAATAGGTACTTAAATTAGAAATTTGTTTATCCAATTGTTTACCTATATCTATAGGTCCTCTTCTCCTTGGTACCGCGGTAATGTTGTTCTCTCTACTGCACTGCGTGGATGATGTTTTTGCGGCTTTGTGAGAACTGTTCTTCCTTTTCACTGAAGACCCTATATATCCGTTTTTGACCATTTTATAATAACAAATCGTAATAATAACAGTACGTATCTATTACCTTAAACAAATTTTTACTATTAATATATGGTCGGTTTAGTTGTCTTACTCTTTGCACGAACTCCGAAGTTAGTTCAGTTTTCATTTGATTATGGTCAATTTTCCTCCTTGTTTTACTCTAAGATATTTGTACATATTATTTTTACCCATTGCCTCAATGTTTTGGCCATCTTTCATATCTAAACCTCCGGGCTGAACCTTTCCTCTGACTACTTTAAGTATACGGTACTTGTCTAGTCCAAAATGCATACCGATATCATTTGAGAACGTTTATACAGTTTTAAGCATCTGATCTAGGTGGTTTAGAGTGGAAGCTATTAATTTCAAATCATCCATGTAAAACAGACGATTAAGCTTCGCCACAACAGTAGGTATTGTTATTTTTGATGCTAAATCCTGAGTCAGTCGAGTTCGGTAGCTGAGATAGTGGGTTCATCGGTTAACAGAACCAAAGTGGACTTAACGAGTCCCCCTGGAAAAGGCCCCGGTTAATTGAGATATCTTTAGTTTCGATATTGGTTTCACCAGGTATTTGAAAGTAAATGTTAGTCTTCCACTCTGCCATTATATGCTTTAAAAAGGTCACTAGATTATCATAGACTGAATATATTTTCAATATATCTATAAGCTATTCATGCGGCAGTGAATCAAAGGCCTTCTTGTAGTCAATTAAAGCAGTAAAAAGGTTTCTTTGTTTGGTGTATGCCTGGTTAGAAATGACCAAGTCGATAATAAGTTGTTCTTTATAACCCATGAAGCCCTTAGCGCATCCTTTTTGTTAAGGCTAAACATTTATTATTATTATTATTATCAGATTTAGCCATACGGCTCACACTCCCTCTAAGGGTAAAATTCACTCATCCCAGATACCTACGGTATCAAAAGGATTGAGCTCTGGTGGGACTCTTTCCATGTTATCGAGTCCTAGGTGACTTGGTACGTCGGTGTATCTCCTAAAAATTTTCGCACGCATCTAGACGTCGAAAGTAGCACAGCTTTCTGCATGACCTTATATAGATGTTCATTTAGACCCAGCTTTTTTATGTTTTCTAGGAGGTTCTTCGGAATGACTCCAGTGGTAGAAAGAATAATCGGTATCGTCTGGGTACTTTCCATTCTCCATTGTCTTCTTATTTGTATTTCCAGATCTCTGTACTTGGCGATCTTTTCGTTGTACTTAGCACGCAGATTATTGTTGTTAGGTATCGCCACATCAATTAGAGTTGTTTGTCTTGTTCGTTTATTAACTAGCACAAGATCTGGTCTATTATGTGCTACAGTTTAGTCTGTGAGCGCAGTACGGTCCCAGTATAGCTTGTAGTTGTCATTCTCAAGCATACTCTCTGGAACGTATTGATAATATGGGAGATGGTTTGTTTGTACAAGTCCCAGTTTAATAGCTATCTCTTGATGGAGGATCTTCCCTACTGAGTCATGCCGTTCCTTATATTCAGTTGCAGCAAATGCCTGGCAGCCTCCGGTAAGATGTTGGATCGTTTCTTGAGCTTGACATCCATATCGGCATTTGTCGTTTTGCACCTGAGGGTCTTTGACAATATATTTCAGGTAATTTTTGGTTGGTATAACCTGATCCTGAATGGCAAGTAATGAACCTTCTGTTTCAGGGAACATCTTTCCTGATGTCAGCCAATAGTTCGACGCTATATTGTCGACATAGTCTTGACTGACTTCATTCGGATGTCGCCCGTGCAGAGGTTTACCCATCCAGATGCGCATTTTTTCGTTCTTAGTAAGATGGTTTATGCGCATTTCTTGTTCCCTCAGGTTGATCGGTGTTGTGTCATCTACTGCGCAAATCGCGCGATGAAGAGTAGATGTCTCTACCTGTACCTGAAAATAAGTTCTTAAATTATTAATCTGTTTATCTAATTGCTCGCTTATATCAATAAGTCCTCGTCCTCCTAAATACCGTGGTAATGTCGTTCTTTCTACTGCACTTCGAGGATGGTGTTTTTGTGCCTTTGCGAGGTGTGTTCGTACTTTTCTCTGAATACTTTCTATATCCGTTTTAGTCCACTTAATAATGCCAAATGAGTAGCTAAGCGCGGAAAATGCGTAGGTGTTTAATGCCTTAAACAAATTTTTACTATTAAGATGTGAGCGGAGTAGCTGTTTTACTCTTCGTATGAACTCTGATGTTAATTAGATTTTCATTTGTTTATGGTCAATTTTCCGCGCTTGCTTTACTCCTAGATATTTATACATGTCATTGTCGCCCATAGCCTCGATGTTTTGGCCATTTTGCATATCGAATCCCCCGGGCTGAACCTTTCCCTTGACTATATTTAGCACACGACATTTGTCTAACCCAAAGTACATACTGATATCATTTGAAAAAGTTTCTACAGTTTTTAGCATTTGATCTAAGTGAGTTCGAGTGGAAGCCATTAGTTTCAAATCATCCATATAAAACAGATGATTAAGCTTCGCCACTACAGTGTTGTTGTTTTTAATGCTAAAACCCGAGTCAGTGGAGTTCAATAGCTGGGATAGTGGGTTCATCGCTAGACAGAACCACAAGGGGCTTAGCGAGTCTCCTTGGAAGAGGCCGCGGTTAATTGCGATATTTTCCGTTTCGATATTGTTTTCACCAGGTATTTGGAGGTGAATTTTAGTCTTTCAATCTGTCATTATATGTCTTATTATTATTATTATTATTATTATTAACGCTCCAAAACACACGTTATATCGGGTTCATACTTGGTTGCTTTATAATTGCCGAAACGTCATTAGTTCAACAGCCCAAGATTTAAATGTTGAAATTTGTGATTGACAATAAAAAAAGTAAATAGCGACCCAATGTTAAATGGAAATAAATTAAAAATAAAAATTACTCAAGCTTGGGACAACATTTCCCCTATAATACACTAGAAAGTTGGTCGAATCAATGCCTATACGACTACAGATTTATAATTGATAATTAAGAAAATACTAGAAAATATTAAAAATAATTTTTTAATGGGTCGAGTTCTTTATTAATTTTTTTGTTTTATAGTTTGTATCATTTTAGCCGTGACATCAAAATCATACATAAAATAATTAAATATTTATTGTTAGGAAGTATGATATATTTAAAACTCAAAAAATAGCTTCTTCTAAAATAGCTATTTTAAAAGACCTATAGTAATTTAATTTCAGAATGTAATTTTTATGGAATAAATATTGAGCCGACACAAGTTAATTTTACTATGAATTGTGAGCCACTGTATGTAACAAATTTTTCGGTAGAATGTTTAGTAGGATTTAGTTACAAATATTACAAAAGTAACTAAAATATAATAAAAATATTAGTTATTTATCAGGTTAAAAAAATACTCATAAAATTTATTGATATTTTATTTTTTCTGAAAATTTGATTATTAACAAATTAATTGTTTACATTATAATAACAATTTTGACAAAAGAGTAAACACTCATTTGGGCAATTTATTAATTTATGTACCAAAGATATATTTTTTACGAGCTGCCATGTAAATGACTTGAAACAGTATTTAATGGTTGATGAAAAGATACTGGTTAATGTCAAGGTTCATGATGAAGATCTATAAATATTTTTATGGTCAAATAAGCAACGTTAATATAGAAAATCAAACTAGTAGAAAATAGTAAGAAATAATTAAACTAGACATGGTTGTGACAGAGACAAACGACTACAAGAAAAATAACAAAAAAAATCTCAGTTATTATTATTTTACCCTTTCTTGCATTGTTTCATTTCTAATTTTTAATTTTTTGTTTAGATTACCCGTGGCACAAATAATATCAAAAATAGTTGTTATATGAAATATGGATGATGGTAATAGTGATGAACTCAAGAATAAGGGTAAACATCCACAACTAAGCTCAAACTATTTGTCAAATTTATTTTTTTGGTAAGTAAAGTATTTTTTCTGCATCTATTACCGTTAATTTCAAATGTTTTAAAGTCCATATCTCTTTAAAGCGATTGTAATACACGAATGTGTTTTAATGCAAAAAATGAGTTTTAACACTTTATACGTTCAATTTCCAAATTATTCTTATATTTAAGTATTTATACTTTCTTCTTATCTACAATCATTGCAAATCCATTTCTATCTTCAAATTTTCTTAAAACTTCCTGTATGTTTAATCTGGTTCATTATAATCAGCTGCTACATATCTTCTTCTTTAAGTTCCATCTTCTTTCATCAAAGGTTGGAAATCATCATGAAAATGCCGACCCTGCCGCTCTAAACACGCCTTTTATTGAATCTAAGAGCGCTTCTTTAAATACCGCTTCACTGTAGAAAATGAAGAGTAGTGGTTTCCTTGCTAGACTGGCAGACTCCTCTCTATATTATCTCGGCTGTTCTAGTTGTCAACTTTTACCTTGGCAATTTGATTTCAATATAGATTAGATATCATTTTGATATCACGACTGTCAATATCTTTGCTTTTTATTCTACAAGCTTTTTATGTTAAACCTTATCAAATGCCTTTTCAAAATCTTCACAAACGCAAGTTTATGTCCTAATTCATACCCATGCATTTCTGGCTCAGCACGTTCAAGCCGAACAAAGCATCTCTTGTGCCCATACCATTTCTAAAGCCAAATCGTGTGTCACTAATTTCACTCTTGTTATTCTTAAAGTGCCCTCTCCTCAATGAAGGTTGTCTACTACAATTTTAAACTCTTCTCTATCTTTAGCTGTTCTTATTAGCTGTTCAAAATTTAGCCCTGTCCATAGTCGGATGTTTCTGAACCACGATAGTCTTTCCCTTACTAGGCCTCTCTTTTCCTCGATTTTTCCTTTAACTATAAGTTGGGCATATTGGTACTTATTATTTCTCAGTATGTGGCCTAGGTATGATGTTTTTCTAACTTTTACTGTGTTAAAAAGTTGTCTTTCCTTGCCTATTTTATGTAGCACTTCTACGTTTGAGGTATGCGATGTCCATGAAATTTTGAGTATTCTCCGGCAGATCCACATTTCAAAGGCCTCCAATTTGTTTACGGTTGATGTTTTAAGTGTCCACGTTTCAACTGCATATAGAAGAGTCCACCAGACGTAGCACTTTGATAAACGTATTCGAATTTCGAGTTTTATTCGAGAATAACAAAGCAGTTTTTTTATTTTTTTGAAAGATTTTCTGGCCTGTTCTATTCTCGATCTTATTTCTAGATCAGGATTTAGGCTGCTATCGATCCAACATCCCAGGTACTTAAATCTATTGACCTGTTCTAAAATGTGCCCATTTATTGTGCAAGGTTGAGGTACGTTTCAGTTTTTTCGGATTGACATCACTTTGGTTTTTTTTAATGTTTATTTTCATACCAAATTTCTCACAGGTCGAGTTGGTCTTGTCGATGAGTCGTTGTATACCTAAGTCGGAATCCGCAATTAACACTGTATCATCGGCGTATCTGATACTGTTGATATTTACGCCATTCACATTGACTCCATCCTTGGAATCATCTAATGCTTCTTTAAATAAAAACTCGGAGTAAAGATTAAACATCAGAGGCGACAGAACACATCCTTGTCTGACTCCCCTCCTAATTTCTACTTCTGCGGATGTGGAACCTTCGATCCTAACTCTGGCGTTTTGGTTCCAGTACAAGATTTTTAAGAATTTGATGTCTTTTCCATCTAAACCGACTTCTTGCAAACGTTCTAATAGTAGGTCGTGTCTTACTCTATCAAGTGCTTTTTCGAAGTCTATAAAGTATATAAATATATCTTTCTGTTGGTCGTAGCATTTTTGGGCGAGAACTAGTAAACTGAACAGGGCTTCTCTCGTTCGCATGCCGGCTCTGAATCCAAACTGATCGTCTCCGATGATTGTTTCGCACTTTCTATAGATACGATTATGTACGATTTTTAGTAGGACTTTTACTGCATGACTCATAATGCTTATCAGACGGAACCTATTGCAGTGTTGTGGGTTTGGCTTTTTTGGTAGTGGGATGAATATTGACTCCAGCCAATCTTGGGGTATTTTACCTATATCATAAATGCGATTGAATAAAAATACAAATATTTCGATATTTTCTTCGCTGATTAATTTTAACGTTTCTGGGTATATTCCGTCTGGACCTGGGCTTTTATTTGTTTTGAGATGATTAATTGCATTTATGATTTCAGATTTCAGAATTTTTGGCCCTTTGTTGTTATTTTCCAATCTTGGTTCTTCTCGTATGTCGTGAAAAAGCATTTTTATATAGTTCTCCCATTCTTTCAGTTTATCTTCCGTTGATTCTAGCAGTTTGCCATCCGTGTTCAGCATGGTGTGAAAAGTCGTTCTCTTGGTAGTCGATGTAAACTCTTTTACCTTTTTATGTAAATTAAAAAAATCGTGCCCTTGTTGCAGTTCTTCTATTTCAACGCATTTTGTTTCCAGCCATTTCTCTGTTGCTTCGGTTATTCTTTTTCGAATTATTCTATTTAGTCTTTTGTATTCTCCGTCCTTGTCATTTTTTCCTTTAGATTCTGTTCGTTTGTTTATTTATTGTAAAATCTCTTCTGTCATCCATTCCTGTTTGTTATTTCTAGGTGTTACTTTTAGATGTTTTTCCGTTACATTGTTCATTTGTTCTTTGATAGTTTTCCACAGAACGTTTATGTCGTCGTACTCGCTAATTCTATTGTGGTCGATATTTCCTAAATTTTTGTTTAATTCTTTATTTACTGTCTGATGTATGGTGTCGTTGTTCAATAATTGTTAATGTGTAACTTATTAAATTGTAATAAGTATTTTTTGTATAATTTAAGTATAATTGTATTTCATACTCAAAAGTTTTAACAAATCTGCTGGGTATTATTTTCAAAATTTTCACCATTTAACTTGCACCCCTATGTACAGTTTTCAAGTGCTTGTGTAAATAATTCTTTGGGGTATGTATTAAATAGCAATGATAAAAATAGGCAGCCTCCGCTGCAGTTGGTTTCAGTAGCGATATTTCATTATGTTAGTATTATTCTTGTTAAGCCCTTTTCGATTTAGACATTCTATGAAATTGTTATGCTTACCTTTCTCGAAAGATTTTTCTAAGAGCTGTTTTTAAAATGATTTTGAAAATTACCTTTAGGCCTGGAAACTGAATCATATAAAGTGTTTATTTTTTTATGTTTCTTCACTCCATATATTTAATAAAAACTGAAATGGTACAAGGAAACATATTCAGAATAATAATGACAATAATAATTTAAAACTAATCTCAGGTTACTTAATACTAACCATATTTTTTAGTTGGGGTTTAAAACTATTTTACAAGGGATGGAACAAAGAACTGAATGAAGACGACTTATACAAGCCCTTTGAAGAACATGAATCTGCTTACCTCGGAGATCAGCTTGAAACTTTTTGGAAGTTAGAAAAACTAGAACACTCACATCCATGCCTCATACGTCCGATTTGGAAATTATTCAAAAAGGATATCCTCAAACATGCCTGTTGGACCTTTGTTTTAGAATTTTTATTAAAGTAAGTACTTTGTGACGCATTTTTTATCAATTATTATTAATCATTACACAATATTAATCCTTAGAATAACAACTTAGAAAATCTTCTATGCAAACGACGCAGTACTCCTCTCTTAAAATGATGATTTACAACGTATGCTGTACTAGTTTGATATAACCGCCATAAAATTTAATATGTTAATTTTCCCAAAAAAGACAAAATGGTTATAACAGCAAATTTACTAAGATATAAATTAAAGCTGGAAGGTCAGATAATAGAACAAGTGATAGAGTTTAAATATCTAGGCATCACATTATCTAGCTATGGAAAGCTCGAAACAGAAGTAAAAGATCAGGTGAATAGAGCAAATAGAGCCGCAGGTTTCTTGAATGAAACAATATGGAGAAATAAAAATATCGGGAAATAAAAATAAAGGGATAATTATTAAGACTACTATCAGGAGACAATAATAGCATACGCGGCAAAAACACGACCTGACAGAGAGGACAAATAATGTGTGTAATAATGAAGCATTTGCTATTATCTTAATTAATTAATATTTTGGATTAAAGTACGAAGTGTTGAATCAATTATTATTTTTACTTAAGTAAGTACTATGGTTTAATACCTAAAAGGAATTAATGCAATTAAAAAAATTGTTGGTAATATTTTTGTGAAATGTATTAAAATAAGGCATAATTTTATTCAAATTGTTATAATATATAATTATTTACAATAAAAAACACTATCTTTTAACTCAACTAGTATTAAATGTTTATTAAGCTTTAAAGGAGTTAAATTCCTAGGGTTTTAACTGAATTAAATAGTTAACAGTAAAAATTAAATACAACAAACAACGTTTAATAATTCTAATTTATTTTTTTACACTATTCTCGGACTATTAGTAAAATGTTTACTTGTAACCTAAAATTCAGTTTGATACTTGTACTAACTTGACAAACAATAATTATTATAATAAATGTTCAAAGTGGCCTCCACCTGCATTTATACGACGAATCCAACTGTTTATATTACCATAGTGAACTAAAGTATGTCGGATAGTTACTGCAGCATCAAAAATTCATTCCTGTAATTCACCTTCTGTTTTGATTTCATCTCTGTAATCATCGATTTCAGATGTACCCAAAAGTAAAAATCCAGTACATTGCAATGAAAACTTGTGGTGGCCACAGAAGTGGTATAAAAAAGATTTTTAAAAGCTGTGGTAAAATGTGCTTCGTCCAGAAGAAACTAAGTTTTACGGCGTGTTTGCAAAAGCACTTCTTTAAAAAGTACTGTCAGAACGTTTTTCAAGAAATTACAGTAGGTCTCAACATTTAAAAACGATTGTTAATTATTCCAGGGTAACGGGTAACGGGTAGGAACTCTTTAAATTCTTGAAGATAGTTCTATCAGGGAAAATGAATCAATCCCTGCCCTCCGCAGATTCCGGGGGTTTCCTGACCCGGGAAACTAGTACCTGTTTAGGGTCCCTTGTCCAGGGTTACGGATGAAGTCCACAACGGCGGCCACGGCGGAGAAGCGGAGCTTCGGTACGGTGAGGATGGCGGAAGTGGCAACCCTCGATTTTAGGGTTGATATAGAATCAAGTCACCGAATGATTGCCGGTATAAGCAGTCCATCAATTACTGGCCAACGGCTTCGGGCGGATGAGCTGGTAAATGGAAGGGCACTCTTTTGTCCTGAGACTGAGAAATCGATCTCAAAGGCGGAGGAACTAAGCAATGGTCAACGGCATAAGGATGCAGAAGGCAAGGAGAAACCACTGCATTAAAGATCCTAAGGGATATCTCTAGTAAAATTATCATGACTGTGCGAAGCGAAATGATTTCTAGTACTGATTATGGATACCGGATACCAAGATCCGGCAGGAGAGGTATACTTCATGACAACAGGCCCTCTCAGGTCGTAATTCTGCGAAATCCCTGTGTTAAAAATACAATAAATATTGGTACATGGAACGTCAGAAGCATGTACGAGCCTGGGAAAATTCACAACGTTATACAGGAGATGCAAAGATTAAACATCGATATCCTAGGCATCAGCGATACAAGATGGTCGGGTGCAGGCAACGTCTCGACAAGCAACGGTATGATCTATTTCTCAGGAAATGAATACCCACATCACAGATATGGTGTAGCAATTGTCGTTTCAAGAAGAATGACACAGTCTGTCACTAATTTTTCGCCAGTGTCAGACAGGATCCTGCTCCTACAACTGCATACAAAAACTGCAAAGCTTAATATTATACAGGTATATGCCCCTATTGCAGATAAATCAGATGAAGAGATTGAGCAGTTTTATGAACAAATAAATCAAGTTCTAAAGTCTACAAAGCCAAAAGATGTTACACTTACCCTTGGAGACTTCAACTCCAAAATTGGCAAAGGAAAAAGCGGAAAAAATGTGCGAGAATATGGTTTAGGGGCAAGAAACGACAGAGGAGACAAACTTTTAGAGTTCTGTCAAGAGAATGATATGATAATTTCAAATACATTCTTTAAGCTACCCAAACGAAGACTGTACACATGGACGTCCCCTCAACACACTAGGGAAAAAACAATTAGGAATCAGATAGATTATATTTTAATAAAAGAGCGATACAGACACTGTATAAGATCAGTTAAGGCTTATCCAGGCGCAGATGTTTCTTCAGATCATAACCCCCTGTTAGCGCGGGTACACATTAGACTCAAAAGACCTTCAAATAAAACAAAAATAGATCACATAGATACCAGCCGCTTACAAGATCCAACAATTAAAGAAGATTTAGAACAACATATCAATGATAACTTACGAATGCTTTCTACAAAGACAGAGAACACGCATGTAGAAGACAAGTGGCAAGATTTAAAAGACGCCATAATAAAACCTGCCCAAAAAATGCTTACCAAAGAGAAACAGAAAAAAGGACGAGAATGGATAACAGAAAAAATTTTAGGTCTCATGGAAGAGCGAAGACAGTTAAAGGGAAAATGCAGCCAAAAATATAATGAAGTAAACAAACAAATCAGAAAAGAAATAAGAATTGCAAAGGAAAATTTTTATACAAGAAAATGCGAGGAAATCGAAGAACTACATCTCAAACATGACACTTTTAACTTACATAAAAAGATAAAGGAACTGACAGGTACACAAAAACGAAAACATCCCAATCTCCTATGCAACGCAAATGGTGAAATAATAGCCGATCTTCAAGAAAAGCTTAGGACCTGGAAGAACTATGTAGAAGAATTGTTCGACGATGAAAGACAAGAACCTAATATAGATAACTTGCAAGGCGACGAAGGACCAGAAATAACTAAAGAAGAACTATTATACGCTATAAAAATAATGAAAAATGGTAAATCACCGGGCCCAGACGGGCTCACATCAGAACTTCTTAAGCTTGTGGAAGGCGAATCAGTGAATATTCTACTCGACCTTTTTAACTGCATCTACAAAAGAGGAGAAATACCAAAGGAATGGCTACTTTCAACTTTTGTAACCTTACCAAAAAAGGCAAATGCAAAACAGTGCACTGACTACCGCACTATAAGCTTAATGGGGCATACATTAAAAGTATTCATCAAAGTAATCCACTCAAGAATTAACAGAAAACTAGATACAGATATTAGTAATACTCAATTCGGATTTCGGAACGGGCTTGGAACAAGAGAAGCACTATTTGCACTTAACGTCATATGCCAAAGATGTCTAGATATAAACCAAGATATATATATATATATATATATATATATATATATATATATATATATATATATATGTGTGTGTGCTTTATTGATTACAACAAAGCGTTTGATAAAGTTCGTCACGATCACTTAATGAAACTGCTAGTAGAAAAAAACTTGGATAAAAGGGACATTAGAATTATCTCTAAGATTTACTATAACCAGAAAGCAAATATCCGAATAGAGCAAGAGACAACGGAGGAAATCGAGATCAAGAAAGGCGTAAGACAGGGTTGTATACTCTCACCGACATTATTCAATCTATACTCCGAAGACATTATAAACACAGCACTTTCGGATCAAAATATAGGTATTAAGATAAATGGCATCCGAATAAACAACTTGAGATATGCCGATGACACGGTACTAATCGCAGAAACTTGGGAAGATCTTCAAATACTAATTAACAAAATAGTAGAATGCAGTGAAGAACACGGATTATCACTTAACATAAGCAAAACAAAAAAATAATGCTAATGCTAATATCTAAATCACCACAAAACTTCCCTGATATAACCGTGCATGATCAAAGAATCGAACGTGTAAGAAGATGTAATTACCTGGGAACTGTTATCAACGAAAATAATGATTGCTCTGAAGAAATCAGAACCAGAATAGAGAAAGCTAGAGCCACATTTACTAAATTGAAAAAGGTGTTCTGCGGAAGAGATCTAAGTCTAAAACTTAAAATTCGCCTTTTGAGATGTTACGTTATGTCAGTTCTCCTTTACGGGATGGAAACATGGACATTGAAAAAGATCGTTACCAAAAAGATAGAAGCATTTGAGTTGTGGATGTATCGTAGAATATTAAGAATACCCTGGACAGAGAAAGTAACAAATGTGGAGGTTTTGCGGAGAGTTCGGAAAGAGAAAGAGCTGATACTTACTGTTAAAAAGCGCAAACTACAATATTTGGGACATGTTATGAGGGGAGATAAATACCAGTTGCTGCAATTGATTATACAGGGAAAGATAATGGGAAAGAGATCTTTAGGAAGAAGAAGGCATTCATGGTTGAAAAACTTGAGAGAATGGTACAATTGCACCAATTACCAACTGTTTAGATCTGCAGCATCAAAAATTCGCATAGCTTTGATGATAGCCAAACTTCGGAACTAAGACGGCACTTGAAGAAGAAGAATTATTCCAGCCCATAAACTTATGCTAAATTCTCGTTGAAAATTTGTCCTACGTATTACCTCTATAATACATACTTAGAATTTACTATGAACCTACTATGAATCTACTTTTAACTACTACTTATCTACTAAGAAGCCCTTAATAATACCTACGTATTATTAAGGGGTTCTCGTCACCCCTTATATAGCAATTATGAAAACTATAAATCGTTTTTTGTGAAATATGCTTCATAACACTTTAGATAAAAAGTTCAGGTTCAGTGACGTATTTATCTTAAAAGCACGTATAAAATGATAATTAGAGGAAGAATACCTTGGTTTTGGTCAAGCGGCTATACCTTTAGGGAGGCACTATTTTCGGGAAGACTTTGTGTATGTCGTTGACATATTTACCCTATAAGTTTTATATTTATTTAAGTATGTCCTCAACATCCCAGAAAATGTCTCTTTGTTACATAATATCCCCCAAAAAAAATTTTCTAAAATTAGATCTATATGAAGACTTTCAACCGTGACTTCCAACCTTTACATCGACAACTTTTTTCATAGTTCACACTTCACAATACTGCCCTACATTCTCTGCCTTATTTTCCTATACAAACGTCAACACCTTAATCCTACACAATTTTGTGTTTCTTTAAACACCCATTCTCTACAATATCGCCACACCTTCCTCTCACAAATTTTCGACCCTAATGTTAACTTCAGAACCATCCACATCTATCATACCAACATATCACCATCTTATCCACCCTTCACTTCTACATCACATTCCTGTCAATTCTTTTCTCTTTCATTATTTCTTGGTCAATTCATATATCAAACATGTATCCAATAGTTTTAACTTAGTAATCATTCAAACCTTATCTAACAATTTATCAAAATTCATAATCTACCATATTACAAAGAATGCTTGTCTACCATTGTCCACCTTCTCTCGGTCAACAACATAGTAGCACACTTATACAACAAATTTCAGGTTTCTACAAACTGAATTTAATATGACCAAAATAGATTTTGTTCAGGGTGCTAGATACTTTAAGTATAAAGGACCCCTATTATCTCTAATTGTTGATTAACCCCTTTTCTCCTTTAACCGCCCCCCCTCCTTTTCTTCAGTAATTTCCTTTACTTTTATTCTCATTAAGTCTCTGGGGAACCCAGCCTCTTCAATTTTAAATTCAATCACATAGGTTATTACTTTGATTTCTTCAGCCTGTAGATTTTCATTTTACTAAACTTAATTTTATTAATTTTTTCACCATAGGAGCAGTCTTAAATAAAGTCATTTAAATATGAGGTCTGATATTAGCTTCAAATATTTGTTATTTAATTTTTACCTTGTCCTAGATGTGATAAACATAAAAGGATAATTTTCATATATATAAGCTAATCCAACATAAAATACACTTCTAGACCACATTCCATATGACAAAAAGCAACATAAGACACAGGTCATTCTATTAATCATGACTATAAAACCATCATTGATTTCACATCTTTTATACCCTAAATTAATAAATAAAATAGTTTTTTTTAAATACCAACACCTAGATTGCTGTTATTTTTAAAATCATCAAAACTTGTTGAATCTTTTGGCTGTAGTAATACTATGTACAACTAATATAGTTTTTTGTTACATTGACATTTTGTTTTCGACATCCTTCAGAAGTATCTTCAATCAGTTCCCAGCTGTTCTCCGCGTGTAGAGGTTCTCTCTCACCGGCTCTGGAACTCGCTTCAGCCATGTGTTACCTCTAGCCAAATTTAATTTAATACTGAACATCACAGTTATTTTACAACACAATGTATTATCTTTTATAACTAAATGTAATTTAAAGGGTTTTTACACTAGTATTTTGGTGGCTCAGGCAGTGTGACCTAGCAAGTATAACCATTTTTTGCTTTTCAACCATAGTCAAAATTTCACAATCACGTTTGTTTTAACTAAATGGTTTATACTTATTTTTAGGCAATTCTCGATTTTAAAACCTGATGATGGACTGTGTGGTCCGAAAACGTTTGTTTTATTGATGTAGCCCTTTTTAGGGTTTTTTAAATAAATATACCCATTTACAAAGACTAACCTCAGTACAGTTCCTAAATTAATTTTTTGATATTAATACTACCAATACTGTATATACTGTATATTATACCTAATACTGTAATTTTTTAAGACTTAAGTATATAATGCAGACATCTAACTTATTTTTTTTAGGTTATCACAGCCTTTACTTTTAAGAAAGCTTATAGAATATTACGAACCAAGTCAAACGTCAATAACTCTCACAGAAGCATATATATACTCCCTATGTATAGTTTTGTGCTCGTTACTGTACGTAGTTTTCTGCCACTCGTTCCATCTTTCACTGCAACACCTTGGAATGAAAATAAGAATAGCCTGTTGTTCGTTGATCTACAGAAAAAGTTTGAAATTAAGCAAAAAAGCTTTAGTGAAAACAACGATCGGTCAGATGATAAATTTGCTGTCCAATGATGTTAACAGATTTGACAATATTTTTAGATATTGTCATTTTCTTTGGGTTGGTCCGTTGGAAAGCATAGTTGTAATGTATTTGATTTTTGAGGTAACTGGTTATACCGGGCTAGCTGGATTCTTGATTCTGCTTCTATTTATTCCCTTTCAAAGTAAGTATAGCTGTAAAAATTTTTATGTATTTTAAATTAAATAAATATTCAAAGCTTGCGTCTTTATATTCGTTTTTGTTCTTTTTCATTGTTTGTCTAATATAGTGCCAGTGATTTTACTAAACAAAGATGACGATTACTGAGCATTTATAATGTCATTATCTAATCTTATTCTTCTTTATCCTTTCAATCTAATTAATTGCAACTTGGGTCCATTGGGTCTACCACTGTTCTTGAATGTACTATTCCTATTTATTCACATATTTTTAATATTTTTTTTGATTGTTTATTAAAATTAAATTTAAATTGTCTTGATTAAAAAAAGCTGCTAGAGTAATCGTCATTTCGGAAGGCATCTAATTTGCATATTATTGCATTGGGCAGTGGTCAAAATTTGAGATATCTACCTAAGCCACACCTGAGCAGTAAATCATTCCAATACTCAGTAGCGCAGCAGTGCAGTTGAGAACAAGTTGTGTGTTAAATATTATATACTTTTATTTTCAAACAATCTTGCTGAAAATTATAGAGCAGGGTCGTCAAACAATATTTAATGTGTATAATTATTTTAAAAATATGAAAAGTGAAATGGACACTATGCTAATGGTAAAAAATAAGACTGCTGAAGTAACAGGTAAGGAGTTTCAATGCATTTAGTATTCATTTTTGATATTCAAATTTAATGTTCCACTTTTCCAATGTTTCCAAACAGTTTTTACTTTAAGTTTTCAATGTTACTTATTTGTCAATCTTTTATACTCTGCTCTTGTACCCCATTTTGCCTATCTTCGCTTTTCTTTTGTATTGGGTGAGTCGAGAATACCATTTTTGACATATCTTGTTTCATTCCTTCGATGTGTCCTAAATATCGTATTCCCTGCACTTTCATTGCAGTCGTTATTTTTTAGCTATTATTACACTTACTTCGTTATTTTGTTTACTACTTCTTGGTCTGTCTGGGTCTGTCTGTCGGTAAATCTATTACTATGTGATCATCTACAATTCCATAATCTGTTTACATTACTACTTAATTTTTATTTACCTTTTGTAAAATACTAACCACATTTACTGTAAAATAATTTTGCCAAATTGTCATTATTCTCCTAGATAGTTCATTTATTAACAGATAGTCATCATTTTTCATATGTGGAGAAAGAGTTCATAGGCTCTTGTTTTCGTAGAAAGCTCTTATTTATTTATTTTTTAATTTTCTACTATCGCTTTGAGTTACTTCTCAATGTACTCTTTTGTTTCTTTATGTTGTCTGTTTAAAATTTGAAGAATTATTTCTGCAACATACCAATCATTTTGAATTATTATTTACGTCATCATCATAATTATCAATGACGTTACAACTCTTCGTGAGTATTTGCCGCGTTTACTATTGCCTTCCATATTTGTCGGTCCTATGCCAATATTTCCCATTGTCTCACTCCCATTTTCTCCAGATCTTCTCTTACTGCATCTTTCATTTTACTTATATGCTGATTATATTTACGTCATTATAGGCATTTCTGTACGGACCGTATCCAGAATACTACAAGAGAGCAAACGGTCTCTAGATAATAAAATCAAAGTTGAATTTTCTTTAAAGGGACCTTTACAAAAGTCACTTGTTACAGATTTACCAGAATATCAAATTACAGATATTCGGCGTATAATACACGATTTTTATAGAACAGAGAATTGTTGTGTTACTGTTAATAAATTGAAGAACAAAATTGAGAGAGATTTGGACATTAAAGTATCAGAAGCCTCGCTACGAAGAATTCTTCGAAATATGAATTTCCGTTGGAGGAGAGCACAGGACAACAGAAAATTGTTGGTCGAAAAGACAGAAATAAGGGCTTGGAGAATCAATTACTTAAGACTTATCAAACATTACAGAAACGAAAACAGACCCATTGTTTACCTCGATGAGACATATTGTTCACAGTGGACATACTTTGTCGAACACTTGGAATGATAATTCTATTAAAGGGATACTAATGAACATTTCAAAAGGTCAACGTTTAATAATAGTGCATGCTGGTGGTGAAATGGGATTTATTCCAAACGCGCTTTTAATATTTAAGTCTGGTAGTAAATCCGGTAAATTATTGAAAACTAAAAAATTTCCTTTGTTCAGAACAATATGTTTTAGCTGTATTTACTAAATAGTGCGCGCCACTGTCATTTAGTTAAAATTTCAGTAACCAATCACCAACTTCAAAGGCGGTTCTTATACAATTTCGACATGCCTCATAATATGCAAATTAGATGTCTTTCGAAATGACGATTACTCTACTATAGTATGCTGTCTATCTCGAGGGTGCGATCTACCTGTAGGATTTGCACAAAATAATAAAATGCAAGAAAACTTTTGTAGAAAAAATATTTATTCACACGTACAGTAAAACCTCGATATAACGGACTACTTGAGGGGACAAGGTGTCCGTTAAAGCCGAAAGTCCGTTATATAAAAATATGTTAAAAGAAAATCAAAAAACTTTTTTTTACTTGTGTATATACACTGTATTTAGATATCAATAAAAAATACAAAATACAAACAAATTCTATTTAATTGTCTTCCGAATTCGTCGTGAAGTGACGTTGCTGCTGATATCAAATATCGACGCGCTTCTGGTCGGTAATACTGTTTTAAAAAAGGAATCAAGTTTCCACAAGGATTCTACGTTCCTGTAGTTGGCTGTATACCATTATTAAAAAAATTATTAAAACTCCTTTGTAAAAGGTATATATTTAGACCCAAACGGGCTAAGTTAAAAAGACAAAACGTTTTCGGAATCCATATTCCATCATTAGTGTTCAAGAGTACATGAATGTAGCCACTAAATATATATAATAATTAATTAATTTGTAAACTAAATGTAATTAATTATTTGTTAACGGGTTTTACCCATATATTTAGTGGCTACATTCATGTACTCTTAGACACTGATGATGGAATATGGATTCCGAAAACGTTTTATCTTTTTAACTTAGCCCGTTTGGGTTCTTAATATAAACCTTTTACAAAGGATTTTTAATAAATGAATCAAATTTCGTTTTCACTTTTCATGTTTGCTGTTTTTTTTATGATCAACACTCTAAAATTACGAAAATGCGTAAAATATAGTTGAACTTCGTTATCTGATGAATGATCAGTAAATGTTATTAGATCGTCGAGATGCGATCTTACCTCTGATATCTTCATTTTTGGCAGTGTTGTTTTGTCGCCTTTTTCACTATCTTCACTTTTGTCCTCATTTTTTAAATTCATAACTTCAACTGCTATTTCACTTTCAGTCATGATGTTCTACTCAGGGTCACCTTCAGCTATTGCAAAACATTTTTTTCAGCTACATGTTCTCCGAGATTACTATGTATTGTCCTACATAAATCAGTAACTTTCAACCCTTCTTAATCTATGTCAGCAGCTTGGTTATCAAAAAAATTCTTCCAACCATTTTTTAATGTTTGCTCTTTCACCCCCTCCCATGGTGTAGCAAAATTAAAAATTGTTGATTTTAAATTGTAAGACCTTAAGTTTTGCAAGGTACGCCGCCCTCTTATATCTTCTGCATTATCTCCATCGTGCAGTACAACCATTATTTTGTCTAAAACCTTTCTGCCATATATTTGTTTGGTTGCCAAAATTATTCCCTGATCCATGGGTTAAATAAACAATGTTGTATATTTTGACAAAAACATACAGCTAAAGTTGTCATCTTCTTCTTCGTACAATATTTTTAGAGGTGTCAGCAGGAGCGTTGTATAGAAGCAATAAACATTTTACCTCTTTCGGCGGTATTCCCAATTTCTTCTCTTAAAATTTTCTTCCTGAAGAAATTCTTTGAAAAACCAACTTTTTAAAATATCTGAACCATGCCTTTTTAGAGCTCTAATATGAAACGGTCAGATGCTGCATTATATCTTTTAAAACTTTAGGTTTACGAGATTTGTCAACCATTACAGGAGTCAATCTATGCGATCCATCGGCGTTAACACAAAGCAGTGCCGAGATCCTGTCCTTGCTGAATTTTCTTCCAGAATTAGATTTTTCATATTTGGAGGCTTGTGTGATTTCAGGCAAAGTACGCCATAACAAACCAGTTTCGTCAGCATTGTAAATCTGAGATTCTAATAGCATTTCGTTACTTATTTGTTCTACTAATTTTTGCCCTAAAGGTTTTATTTTCCTCTTTTGGTGCACTTATAGCTTCTCCCCCGTAAATTATATTATTTATGATTCCGCACCTTTTAGGAAAGCGCCAGAGCCATCTATCACTTACTCTTAATGGTATGTCCATATGATTTGCTAATTTAATTGCAGCAGATTTCAATTAGACTGCCCGGACCAGGACCCCACTAGAACGTTGTTGACCGTAGCAATTGAAGATTGCATCTTCCAGTGAAGTTTCACGAGCCAATTTCATTTGTTTTCTGAAATTGCTGTTCTCTCCTTCGTCACACATAATTGCAAATTCATTTATTTTGACAAAAAGAAATCAAACGATTTTTTTCCTGGCGAAATCGAATTCAAATTTTGACCACCGTGCTTTCTAAAACCTGCAAAGCAAACAGCTTGATAAATAACTCGACAAGGGAATCTAAGATTGCATTCTAAGATTGCATGAATTTAATTTCTGGTACTCCAAACATAGTTAGGAATTAAAATATAAAGATGGTACTAAATTTTTCTTTCAATACAGAGCGGCGGCAGCCGCTTATAGGGGAACCTGGCCTAAAATGACATACCTACTACTTTTTTGCCGTCCAATAACTTTTTTATTTTTTTAATAAAAATTTAAAAAACAAAAATGTTGTTCATTGTTTGGAAGTAGAACAGATCATGGAACATAAAACTCTAACAACACAATATTTTTTAATTAAAAAAAGGACACAAAATAAACCTTGCTATGTCATTTTACCCAAGTATATTCGTCTTAAACGACACACTCACATGGATAAAATGTCATATAAACTAAATTAGCAAAGTTCACAAATAAATTTTTTGC